TGTGGGGAGGAAGTGGGAGGGGAGCTGTTGCATTGTAGTAAACTGTGGTCAATGATATGAGACAAAGTATATGTGAACTGCTGTATGGAAAGTGAATTTGCTCTGTAAATCTTCATCCAAATCACAATAAATAATTTTTTAAAAAAGAATATTCCATGGAGATCACAGTGGGTGTATCACATGCTCACTAGTCCTTCTCTCTCTATGGTGCCTGGAATCGATGTTCAAGGTTGATTTGTTAAACTAGCTACATTCTAAATCTTTTCAGCACCTAAGCCTGCAGGTGGGGGAGTGAGGAAGAAGTGTGAGATGATGCTAGAGTGGTGGTGCTAAAAGGGCAGGGAGGCTGGCATCTTCTGACCTCCGCTAACCCCACAAGAGGAGGACAGAATCACCATCAGCAGCCCAAGGCCTATTCCTGTGAGTCCAGACATGCTGCCTCCCTCCAGCCCTTTCACCAACCCTGATACCAATGTCCCTCCCATGGCACCCACCACCTCTCTGCTGGGTTCAATAATTTGTTGCAGTGGCCACACAGAGCTCACAGATTATGGGGTTTATTAGGGAAGCAACAAGCTACAATTCAAGTTCACGAACGCACTCAGTCTCTCTCAGCCAATTTTCTCACTCAGTCTTTCAGTAGCATGTCTCTCTCTCAGCAATGAGTGACTCTCATATCTCTCTCTCAGCAGCACATCTCTTTCAGCATTTCTCTCAGCTGACAGAGTGACATTTCTCCTCTCTGCCTCTAGGAGGGCTCACTTTAAGCCCAGCAGAGTGGCAAAATCAACCAATCCCAACACTAGAATTCCACACACCTGAGAGAGAGAGAGAGAGAGCGAACTTCCCAGAAAGTTGCTTCATGCTGCTTGCAACAGAAATACCCCAGGTGGATAACTTTAACAATCAGGAGCTACTCACTTGCTCATGACAAATTCCACCATGGAGCTTACAAAGACCATGGCTAGAGAAGCCATACTATATAATTTACTATACTGCAGGTAGGCTTGGACCAGGTGGTAAAATGAGTCTCTCTCTTTCTGTTTCTCTCCCTCTCCTTTCCTTTCTTCCTCCTTCTCTTTTCTTTCTTTCCACTCACTCCTAATAAATAACTATATTCTCATTCCACCACTGTCTGTCAGTTTGTCGTAATCAGATGGCTTACTTGTTACTGTGATGCTGAAAGCTGTGCCACTGGTATTTCAAAACCATCAGGATCACTCATGGTGGCCAGGATCACTCAGTGGCAATTTGAGATTAAGACAGACTAGGAAGAGAGGCCTGGCAATCCACTTCTGAAAATTAGCCATTAAAAGCTCTATGGATCACAACAGAGCATTGTCTGATACAGTACTAAATGATGAACCCCCAAGGTTGGAAGGCACTCAAAATACACAGTGGCAACAGTGGACTCCAGCATACCCATGATTGTGAGGATGGCACAGGATGGACAACATTTTGATCTGTTGTACATGAGATCACCACGAGTCAGAGCTGACTTGTTGATAATGAACTACAACAATATTCTCATTTTAAAGATTGAAATTCACACCAAAGTATTACTAAGCAAAAGCGCAAGTCCCCTTCACCCAACTCCACTTCCATCTTCTCCCAAGATCTTGGAGGCCATCCTTCCTTTCTCTCTTCCAATCCAAAATTCATAGTTGACTTCAAAGAAGCAAATCAGAAAAAGAAAATAGCTCAAATCCACAAGTCTTCCTCTGAGTCTCTCAATATCCTGTGCTTAAATCTGGCAGACCACCTAACAAACGGGGCTGTGGCTATTTACCTGTCATTTACTGGTCTCAAAAGATTGTAATCTCCCCATGGCCAAGGCTAACCAGTTGCTGTGAAGGTGATTCATGGTGACCCTACGTGTGTCAGTGTGTTAGAGTAGATACAGTAACTCCTAAGGTTTTTCAATGGCTAATTTCTATTTATTTGTTAAAAAATTTTATTGTGATTTGGATGAAAGTTTGCTGAGCAAATTCATTTTCCATACAGCAGTTCATACACATTTTGTATCATGACACTGACTGCAATTTCCCACAGTGTAACAGCTCTCTTCTCACTTCCTCCCCGTAGTTACCTCTTCCCTGTGTCCTTCCCTCCCAGGCACTCCTGCCCTTCCCTCTCCCCCAAACTGCCTCCTTGTGCATACCAAAAAAAAAAAAAAAAAAAAAAAAAGCCAAACTCATTGCCATGGAGTCGGTTCTGATTCACAGTGACCCCTTCTTGGGTGTCTGAGGCGGCATCTCTACGGAAGTAGATTGCCCAGTCTTCCTTCCAAGGAGTGGCTGGTGGGTTTGAACTGCCAGCCTTCTGGTTAGCAGTCAAATGCTTTAGGCATTAGGCCACCAGAGCTCCTCCTGTGCATACATTGCTCTTCTGTTCTCCCATTATTGATTGTTCCAAGAAATGTGTCTACCTGATGTAAATGTTCAGCCCATATGCCTGTCTATTGTTTGGCCACAGAAGTGAGTTCAATTCCAGACCTGAAGGGTAACTTGGTCTCAGAAGTCGTCTCCCAGTGGTCACAGGAGGGTGGCAGTAGGACAGTGTCTCAGAAGTCTTACCAGGTCTTTTTTTTTTTTTTTTTTTGATTTTGAGTTTTGTTCCACATTGTTCTCCCACTCTACCCAGGATCTCCTACAACAATGGCTGATTTTTTGAAAGTCGATTGCTTGGCCTTTTTTCCAAGGTATTTTTTTGCTTAGCAGCCTAATGTGCTAACCATTTACACGACTCAAGAACTCCTGATTGATCCAACGTATATTAGGTCTGTCTTTCTCAGGACGGTCATAAATAAGAAACATGTAGGGGCCCAGTCATTTCATGCAAACTCTGGCCGTCTGAGCTGCAGCCTCCTCAAATGAGGAGGAACGCACAGAAATAGACTAAAGCATTATGGTCTAGTGGGAAAGACCCTGGATTTGAATGGAAAAATGCAGTGAAACTGCGGGATTATGTGTAACCGTGAACACGTCTCCTTACCCTTGTGAGCCTCATTCCACCCCCCTTCTCTGACACATGGAGTCGCCAGGAGTCGGAATTGACTGGATGGCAACTGTTTTTTTGTTTGTTTGTTTCCCCAAATAGAGGTTCAAAGTAATGGGGCTCTTAACAACCGCTCAGCTTAGGGGAAGAAACTTGCGGAGCAGCTGCCACCCCTTGCGCTCCCAAGGCCAGCGCTGCTGACCAGTGGTGCCCGGGGCACACGATGTGGTCATTTTATCCGATCTGCTTCCGGTCTACACCCGCCGGGGCTGCGTCTCACTCATCCTGGAACTGAATGCTGCTGTTCTGGAACTGAGTGCGGACGGGGGAGAGAGCCGGGAAGAGCCGGGAACGCGGCCTCGCAGCCCTGCCCCTCGGGCTGCGCCACCGTCCTGCTGCCGCCCTCCTGTGGCCACTGCGAGGCGACCTCCGAGCCGTCCCTCGGTCCCCCTCCCTAGGCCGGTGACATCACCGCATTCCCTTCTCCGGCTCCTCCCGCCGTTGCTCCTGCAGCCGCAGTGACAGGCTAGCCGGGCCCGGTGGCGGAGAGGAAGTGCGGTCGCCGCGCAGAGCCTGTGCTCCTGAAGGCCGGCTTCCCGGGCAGCTCCGGAGACAGCGTCGCCGCCGCCGGCGCACGCCGGACACGCGCCGGGCCGAGCCCAGCGCCAGGCGGAGGCTGCAGCAGAGACTCGGGGAAAATGGCTGATGACTTTGGCTTCTTCTCGTCATCCGAGAGCGGGGCCCCTGAGGCGGCCGAGGAGGACCCGGCTGCCGCCTTCCTGGCCCAGCAGGAGAGTGAGATCGCGGGCATTGAGAATGACGAGGGCTTCGTGGCACATGCTGGAGGCCAGGCGGCCCCCGCACAACCGGGACTCACGAGCCGGGGTGAGTCAGCGCGAGGTCTAGGGGCTCGGGGCTGCGGCTCACCCTGGTCCTGGGGCCAGAGTTCAGGGGGCTGCCAGGAGCAAGCCTGGGGCTGCTGTGAGTGGGGGACCCCGGGGAAATCAGGAGGACTCTTCTCTGAGAGCCCCGTCTGAGAATATCGGAACTGGGCGCTGAGCTGGGCCCCGCCTGAGCTGAGGATCTGGTGACTCCTGGGACAGGAATTCAGTCATGACATTTCATCCTCAGGCCAGCTCCACACAGCCAGGCTCTGGAATCTAATACCAGCCCAGTTCTGGGAGTCCCTCCTGAGCCTGGGGCAGCCTGGCCTACCCCTCCTAGGCTCCTAGCTGAGCCGGGTGGTGTGTGCAGGATGCAGAACTTTGCGCTCCTCAGGTTTAGCTTTCAAACAACTGGGAAAACAGGGAAGACTGGGTGCTCTGCTAACTCATAAACCTTCCCTGGGGATCATCTGCCTTCCTATAATCACCAGGCACTTCACTTACACTTAATCATTTTAAATGCATTACTGTACCTGTTTCAGAGATGTAAAAACTGAGGCTCAAAGAAGTGCACTAGGGGAGTCAGTGACCAAGCCAAGGCTTAACTCTGTTTCTGTCCAACTCTGTCCTCTCCATCTTACCACACTGTCTTCTATGTGCCTGGCTCTGGGTTAGATATTCCATGGGGGCAGGGCCACAGGCACAAATAGGCATCAGTCAAAGTGGTCCTGCCCTTCAGGAGTTTGTAACTGTTTACTTAATGGCTTTCTGAAGGTGGTCAGGGTTATTGCAGTTGGCTTCAGACCTCAAGGTTCAGGGCCTGGTTCCTGTGATAGCATGTTTATCAATGACAAGGAACAATTTCTTAAAATATCTGGTAAAAAGTAGATATCACCTTAATGGGTGCATCTAAAACAGCCCTTATTTCCTGTTAATTTTGTCAGTATAATGGGTTTTAGGAGCTTGCTGGAATAAGTGGTACTTTACATTAAAAAAAAAAAAATGTTTACGAGGCTTTTTATAGTCACGTTTGTATTCATTCAGCTGTTTGAACACCTACTATTTGCCAGACCTACTGGAGATACAGACAAAAATAAGACAGCTCCTGTGACTGAGGAGTTTGAAGCATCTCTGTATGCCCTTGAAATGAGAAATGCAATCAAGGAGGCCCAGAGAGCCTGAGTGTCTTGCCCAAAGTTACACAGCCAGTGAGTGACAGATCTGGCCTTGATTCCAGGTCTCCCAACTCTGGGCTCCATGTTCTTTCAAGTGCTGTGGCAGTCTCCCTGGGAGGTGACAGGACTGGGGGAGAGGGATCTTTTGCTACTCAACCAAGCCAGCAGTGGAGTTCTTCCCAAGCAATAGCTCCCAGCCACTTCAGCCTGGACCCCCACTTACCCCAGGGAATTCATAGAAATGCCTGACTGCATTCATGCACCAGTATTCATCGGATCATACCTTCTTCTTCAGACTGCCGCTTTCCCTAGCTTGTCTAGCTTGGTCAGGGGGAGGTTTTGCTGTGGAGGAGCTGATGTCAGACCTCCATGAGAAAGAAGGACAATTGGAAAGCAGGGTGAGGGCAGCCAGAAGCATCTACACGTTGAGCAAGTTGTGACCTCTTCCTGCACAATAGGGCTCCACGGGTGGGGGTTCCTTCTCTGTAAGGGTGGGGTACAGACTGGCCCTAGACTCAGGGTGGCAGGAAGAGAAAAAATGCTTTGCTCTCTTCTTCCGGGGAGCTGTCAGGGACACGTGGATGGAAGTCTCCCAGCCTTGCACCTGCTGAAGCTGCAAATGCTCGACTGCCCTTTAAGTGGGGCATAGGGAATAGGCAGGTGTTGCAGGATGGCAGCTGAATAGTGGGCCCGAACAGGGTGGAATTGATCTGACCCCTGCAGGCCTTGGCAATGCTGAGCGGGTACGTAATCCTCTTCTGACCAGCAATGAGTGCCAGGAGCCTGGATAAGGAGAAACAAACAAACAGTTGCCAGGGAGTCAATTCTGACTCATGGCACCCCCATATATGTCAGAGTACACATACAGGGTTTTCAATGGCTAATATGTCAGAAGTAGATTGCCAGGCCTTTCTTCAGAGGTGCCCCTGGGTAGACCTGAACCTCTAACATTTCAGTTAGTAGCTGAGTATATGAACTGTTTGCTCCATACAGGGTCTTCATAGAGCGTAGATGGGGTAGAAAAAAGTGCCTTGGCCTACGCAGAGCTGGGCAGAAGCTAGCTCTGGAGCAACTATCAATCAACATGTCTGGAGTCACCTTCTCTCTGATGGGAGGTTCTCTGCACTGAGCGCCCTGACTTTGGGCTCCCAGGTACCTCTAGGGAAAGAGGTATTGGGTTTAGGCCTGAGCCCCACTGAGCCTGTGCTCTCCGACTGAGCTGTGGCAGGACTGAGCCATGGATACTTTGTTTCCATTCATCAGCCTTGGGTAAGACCCAAAGGGTTTACATTTTCACACCCGGATTTCTCAGCACCAGGCTTGGTTCTGCTCCTGACTTGCCCAGTCAGTTCAGGGCAAGTCTACTTCTCCTGCCTCTGTAAGGTGACAGGAATGTTCTGGATCCTCTCCACCCCTGTTCCAAAAGGAGTCAGGGATCTGAGAGAAGCAACACCCGTGGGATTATCCCTGGTACCCGTAGGAGCATGTTCCTGTTGTGCTGGCCTATGATTTTGGACACATGATTATAAATGTGTAGCAAACTAATCATAATTCTGTGTGTTGGAGGGGAGGGGGTTGGGAATTCCTAAAGATGTCTGAGACTGAAGTAGGAAAATACCTCATCTCCAGGAATACTCAGAAGCATGAGTGACGAGCAGAGGGGTTTGCTGAAGATCAGGGTGGGCAGGTGAGGGTTGGTGTGTAGAATTGTGCAGCTTCTGTTCCAGAAAGACCAAGCCTTTGGCATCATTGTCAGGATGGACCTTGGTAGAGGAGATGTCCCAGAAGAAGAAGACCTTTTGCAGAAGATGGTGCCACTGAAACCCCTCGCCAGCCCCACCCTGATTTAGACACCAGGTCATCCATGCAAAAGTAGCCTGTAATTCTATTCACATAGAATGAGTGGGGGCAGGGGGTGACAGCTGACACAGTGGGTCAGAATCAATCACTTTGACTCTGAAAGCAAAGTCAATTATAATTAGTATCAACTGGGAATTATTTCCATGGGATTAGGTATCCCTCCCTCCAGTCACCAGGCTGAAAACACTGTTGCCATTGCTCACAGCCCTACCTGATTGGCAAACGGACATTTGTCCATTTGTGATAATCCCGTGTGGTCTTCTGAAGCTCTGCTAGGAGGCATTGCAGTTTCTGAGAAGGCTTGCAGTTAACAGCGGGCCCCCAAAGAGCATTTCAGCTTCCACTTAGCCAACAGTTTCTGCTCACCTATTCTGTGCAGGCTCCCATAGGAGCTGAGAAAGATACAGGGCCCAATAAGGGCCCAATAAAGATACTTGGCCCTTTGGGATCACAAGTAATTACACATCAGGGTGGTGAATGCTGTCTGATATTCCAGGATACCCCAGAAGCAAGAACTTCCACCAGTCTTTAGGGAAGTAGGGGTCACTTGTGAACTGGGCCTTGGAGAACCACGGGACCAAAAAGAACATCTTTGGAGGGAGAAGCAAGAAGCAAGGCACGGGGTGGGGATCATGTGTTCTGGAAAGGGAAAACCAGAACTTAGCATCGATGGGAGGGACTGGTGGGAAGTGAGGGGGGGAAAGTGGGCCAGACTGTGAAGAGCCTCTTGTGCTCCCCTTTCACCAAATATTTACTGAGCCCCCATTACGTACCAAGTACTGTTCCAGGTGCAGGGACCCAGCAGTGGACAAAACAAAGTCCCTGCCTTCATGGGTGACCATTCAAGTGGGGAAGACAGACAATAAACATATACACAAATAAACGTGTCAGCCTTTGGGGAAAGAGGAACAGTGGAAGAAGGGTGAATGTGAGGAGTGGTCAGGGAAGTCCCTAATATAAGGCTTAAGGTCGTGAGGAAATGGACCATGTGGAAGTGTGTGGAATGACATTCCAGGTAGAGGGAACAGCACCTGCTAATCCCCAAGGCAGAATTCATGGAAAGTAGATTTCTTTGTGTTTTGTTTTCATTATATTTTTAATCAGAGGAGTTATATAAGAAAGTCTTTTTTTTTTTTTTTTTTTTTTTTTTTAATGTTGGTTGTGGCAGTTGGTTTGAAAGAGGTTATTAGGGTGAAGCTGGAGTCAAAGAAACCTGTGTGTGGGCAAAAGTCATTTATTCATTCTTTAATGCATTTATTATGTATTTAGCAAATAGTTATTGAGTTACCAAGTTACTGGTACCATGCATGGTTCTGAGGAGGACAATGGTGAGAAGAAAGAGACACAGTTACTCTTTCCAGGTGTTTGCCTCTAGCAGGGAAGACAGACCAAAACAGTCATGTTGTTAAAGGCTGGAGCAGGAGCAAGAGAGTAGAGGGCAGTTTTGAGGGTCAAGGCTACAGCAGAAGCCACAGGAATTTTTGACTAATCAGATGCCAAGGGAAGGGACCAGGAGGAGTCACTGATGATAGCCAAAGAAAATCTTCCTGGGAGGGGCAGGAGGAGAAGAAATAGGGCAAGTGCTGCCTGGTAGGACTGCAATTCCTGTTCTCCCAGATGGAACAGTTGCTCAGGGCACCGTGGGGACAGGCAGGGACACCCAGGCCCTCTCTTCCTTGTCCTCTAGACCCCACCCTCAGCCTACAGCTCCTCTGCCTATTCACCAGGCATAGGCTCCACAGACAGTCCAGGCCATTCCCAGCCTCAGCCATAGATGAACTAATTTCAGGTTGGTGAGGAGGTTTTACTGGCTGGGTGACCTTCGGCATTCATGTATTCTCTCTGAGCCTCAGCTTGAGAATCTGTAAAATGGGTTGATAACAACTTCATCACAGGGCTGAAGTGAAAATCAGATGTGATGATGGCTATAGAAAGACTTTATGAACAGTCCAGGATTGAGCCCATTATTTATGTATACATTATGTCTGTCTGTGGGTGTGCATCAATATATACACGGGCATGTACAGAGGTTGGCTCGGGGTCCTAGTGCAGTACCATTCCATGCTCACTATATGGTAAGCAATGGGTAATGCTTTCTACTTGTTCTCTTTCTAGCTAGTGCTGAGGACATGGGGACCACGGTCAATGGAGACGTGTTTCAGGTAAGAAAGATGCTGTCTTAATGGTGGTGGGAACTGACAGCTGGGGTCTCCAGGATCAATTGTTTGTTTAGGGCTTAGGGCTCCAGTGATTTTTTTTTTTTAATGTTTACTATCAATTTTAATCATAGAATAATATAAGCACAGTTGCTCTGTGAATTTTTCCAAGGAGGTTAAAAGTTCCTCCTGAATAGGTAACGAAAGTCGGAAAAACTTTCCTGGAGGCATAGGCAGAGACATGAACATTTATTCAGAATAGAAACAAAGAGAATCAGGAGAGAAAGGATTAAGAAAACAAAGAAACCAGGCTTACAAACGTTGCTAGCAATTCATTGTCCAGCGGCAGCAGGCCAGAATGGATCCAAGATGAATGCTAATCCCTCACACTTTGTAGGGATACTTATACCTGAATTTGAGAAATTGGGGATGGGAGCTTCGTGACCAGGAATGGAGGGCTACATGACTGTCTTCAGACTTGGTGGTGCCACGTTCCGATTGGGAGGGGGCCCCCGGATGTGCTCTGATAAGACACTGCCATTAGCAAGCTTTATGGCTTAACACTATTCTAAGGATGGGTTAATACATTACAGGGAAGATGGTTAATACCTGACAGGTGGGAGCAGGGGAAATTGTGACAAGGAGGGAGTGAGGAAATGGCTTGTAGTCCTTACAAGTGTGGCTAAACAAGATGGAATCTGAGAGCCATTTTGGGGGATTGTATAGTTACTGACTATACAATGGTTGTAAATTACTTAAATGTAATATTTCTTAGATTATATGTATGCTAATAACAAAATGGGAGGTCTGGTAGCATAGTGCCTAAGGCACTTGACTGCTAACCAGAAGGCTGGCAGTTCAAACCCACCAGCCACTTCTCGGAAGGAAGGTTGGGCAATCTACTTCCTTAGTGATACTGCCTCGGCAACCCAAGGAAGGGTCACTATGAGTCGGGTACAACTCGATGGCACGTAACAACAAATAACAAAATTGTTTGGTAAACTCTTTCTACACTGAATTACAACATTACTAGTTACAACATTATTAGTAACTGAGCAGAAGATTCTCTTGATTTTTCTTCTTTTGCTCCAGTGATGCTGATGCACTGGGATGGGCATATCGGAAAAGGGGTTGATGTGCTTTTTGTCATGTACAGGAAGGGAGACAAAGAATAAAGACAATTGGAGACAAGGAATGATGAGCTTCAGGGTCTCCATGATGATGCCGGCCTTTGGGAAGGGAAGATAATGTGGCCCACACTGGACTGAAGGAAACAGGGCCCTCAATATACCTTTCCTACTAGTGGGAGGCCAAACTGACGTAGTGGGTCAGATGCTCTCCAACATGTAAGAGCATTTTAAATATGCAGGCCTTTCTATCCAGAGACTCCATTTCTTGGATTTACCCTAAGGAAATAAATGGATTAACAGGATTCTTTGTAGGATTACGTATAACCACTAACTAGTTGCCACCCAGGTGACTGTGCCTCATGGTGACCCCATGGGTGTCAGAGTAGAACTGTGCTCCACAGAGTTTTCAGAGGGAGCTTGCCAGGCCTTTCTCTCAAGGCCTCTCTGGGTGGACTCGAATCTCCAGCTGGGTTAGCAGCTGAGTGCGTTAACCGCTTGTACCACCTGGGGACTCTAAGATTATTTATAATAACAGACAAACTGGAAATAACCTAAACATCAGGGGACTGGATAGGTAACTTGGAAAACCACCCTGTTGTTGGAAAGAACAGTCAGAGCTTTCTGTGTTGACATGAAAAGATGCCCACAATGTAGTAAGCAAAAAAAGCAGAATAATATGCACAGAATATTCTGCAGAATAATATACACAGTAGGGTTCTACTTTTTATTTTAAAAATATGTTTGCACAAAATATCAGAATGGATGTGTACTAACTGTTAGCAGTGGTTGAGGGAGGAAGATGAAAAGGGCTTTAACTTTTGCTGTGTTTTAAAATTCTTCATAGTGATTCTAAATCAGGGAAAAAAAAAAAAAAAAAAAAACCACAAAACAAATATACAACCAGTAAGGATTTTCCTAGTTAGAGAACTGCTTCTCTTTACACCCACTAACCTCCTCCCTCACATACATACCAATCAGTCTGAGAGCTCTTAGAGAGAATATAAACCACATATGGCCTCCCCAGGACCCCACAGATGCCACAGCCCTCACCTCCCGTCCACCCTGGGTGGGGCTAAGCTTCCACTGGGCAAGCCCTAATTCCCACTCTGGCAACAGACTCTTGACCACTGGGCTGTAGCTCAGGATCTCCTGGGCCATGCCTGGCCTCCGAAATCCTCTGGGGGAATAAACAATACATGCTTATGTAAGAGGGATGGGCTGGTACCTTACACAGGGAAACTGGCCAAGTCTTGTTTCTGGAAAATTACTCAACTGTAAGCAAGCTGGAAACATCCATCTCTGGGATGTTAGGAGCTTCATGTTCAATTGGGCCTAAAGATCAAGTAAGCAGTGTTTACCTCCATATAATTTGACAGATCCTTAAGGTTTATGCCGCTTAGGCTGTGGGCAGACTGAAAGGATTTTGCTCGTCCCAAAAGGTCTGTGTCCTGGAACTGAAGGACCCAGGACCTTGTGAGCAAGTTGGCCTTCCTATTCTATAGATTAGTCTCAAGGCTCAGAGAGGTGAGGTAACTTATGCAAAGTCATACAGGAAAATCATATGTTCTGGAGTGTTCCTGTTTTGTTGGTTTGGTACCTCCACCTCCAACTCTGTGTGTCCTGTTTTGCATCTGGTAGATTTGAGACCTGGGAGTTGGAGGAACCCTGGCTACCTTCCTAATCTCAGCTGAGCTCACTGTTACTAAGAATCCCAGATATATTTATTTGTAAGTTATTACTCATCCAATGCCATCCTCGAATTCATACAGGCAAGGGAGGGGCCACAGATGAAGAGAGTCCCTCAGAGCCTTAGTGGCAAAGCCCAGGCTCACCGTGACCCTCTGACCCCTGATCTGGTGTATTTGTCGGGCCCATGTGTTGCCTAGACTGGCCAGGCACAGCAGCTGGCTGGTAGGCTTTGTTTAGGGCTGAACGCAGAGCAGGGAAGGACTTGCACCTATAAAGGGAGAAATTTTGCCCCATGCTTCCCCTGGGTGGAACTTTCTTGCTCCATTTCTTATTCTTTTCTGGCAGCCTATGGGCCAACAGGGGGTTCCAGCTACCATCTTGACCCCCCAACATAGCCTAAGGATAGGTCTGCCCACATCAGCTCCTGTCCACTTGGCACCACCCCATAAACATTCCCTCCTTCTCCACCCCCACATTCCATTTGAGCTAATTAGAGGAATCAACAGCTCAGCTTAGCTTAGCTTTAGCTGGCCAATCCCTCCAAAGACAGATATGCCTCATCTTCCTGACTCTCCCTGGAGTCACAGCACATACTCGGGCCGTCATAGCCCAGGGATGCTCTCGTGGCTGTGCTCCTAGAGGAGACAGGTGCTGGAGAGCTGGACCTAGATAAGCCTTTCCTTGGCTGTAGCCTCCTGTGTTCTGGCTCTGGCATTTCTCACCCCATTCCTTTCTTAAGGAGTTGGGGGCTCAGCATTTCTGTAGCCTCTGGTGAGCCCTCTTGGTGACTAACTTGATTTCCCCACTGGGATGCTCAAGTGAATAAAGAGTAACCCTGTTATATCCATTGACCCTCACTGCTCACTGTCAGGGGTAGGGGCAAAAACTAAGCCCAGAGCAGACTGGAGAAGAGGAACCAGTAAACTGCTACTTATGTGTTCAGTGCTTTTCCCATGCTGTCCACACCACTTTGCAATCATCTACTCCTTCATCTCGTGAACTCACTTTTTTTATTTTCTAATGCCTTGCACTGTGCCCAGGGCAGTGGATATAGAAGCAAATCCAACAGGGTATTTGTCTTCACACAGATCACTTCTAATAGAGGACAGAGACCTGGAAAGAAATAAAGGGCTCAGATGTGGGTGTAGTATAAGGTCAACAATTTAAGTTCTTACTGTGGAAGGTACCACCTAAGAGCTTCACATGTATTAACTCAATCCTCCCAACATCCCTATGATGTGAGCACTATTACTACTTCCACTTTACAGGGATGTTTACTATCTCACTCTAGTTAGTAGCTAGTAAGAGCCAGGACTTGAATCCAAGCCCTCAGGTGCCAGAGCCTGCCCAGAGTCAGGAAATAGGACAGGGAGATGGGTTTGCTTGAAGTGGGTTTTGAGGCTGTCCAGAAGGTTGCAGGTGGTCCTGGCTGAAGGAATAGCATGTGCAAAGGCACAGAAGGTAGGGGCATAAGACACTCAGTCCAGGCTTACTCAGAGCCTGGGGCCTACTGCACAGAAGGTTGTGCCGGGGAGAGTGGAGAGTCAAAGTTACAGGGCTGGTGTTCCAGGCAGGCAAGAGAAGTTGTGAGCCAGAACTGAGTTAAGGGGCCATGGTGAGCAAGTGGTGAAGGGGGTGGGCTCAGCTTGGCCAGGCCTGGCACCCTGGGCCTGGAGTAGGGGCACCTCCTTGCACAAGTGCTATGGAACACACTATGAATGGTGCCTCCTGGATGTGCAGAAGCACCCAGGGGTTCTGAGTGTTTCCTCAAGGATGCAGTGGAAGAGCTTGAATTGAGTCAGAACACTTGGGCTTCATATCTGACCTTTTATATCCACATGACCTTGAACTAGTCTCTTAACTGCTCTGAGATTGATTTCTCATTTGTTCAATGGGGATTAGAAGCATTGTCCTGCTTGTCCCTGCAGGGCTGGTGAAAAAAGCGCTTATAGCTTGGGAAGGGTCTTAATCAGTGTAAGCTGAGCTCTGATTTATTCCTGACCTAGGCATTAAGAAAGTACAGTGTGGGCATGTGGGAGAGAGTGGTGGGGAATAGGGCATGGGCACAGTGGGAGAGGGAGACATAGCCTCTAATCTTGGGAAGAAAGACTTAATCAGGGGAACAGAAAATAAGCACATAAATCATGTGATACAGAAGGGACTTTGGTCCCTAGTAGGTATTTTGTG